ATAAAAAATGTTTCTACCCTTGTCCTCCCTCCCTGACCTTGTCTATCCTCCAGTGAGGGGGAATGACATCAGCCAAGAAGGATTAGGCTGAGGGAAGAACTTCGCCTCAGTGATGGAATAGAGGAAGAATTATTTATTTATTTATTTTTAAGCAAATTTTGCATGGGGAGGACAGGCCACCACAGAAAGAGTTACTGTAACCAAGACTGGTGTTTTCTGAATTCTTTAACTTTACTCTTAGATTGACCTAATGTTAGACTGTGGCAGTTTTCGCAAATAAAGATTTTCTTTGATTCGCTGATAGGCAGTCATGTTTGAGTTCTTAAAATATCTCTATATATACTCTTCCTCTATCTAGATATATATATATATTTTTTTATATAATTCTTTATTTTTGAAAAGATAGGTGAAGAGGTAAACAGCAAATATTCCAGTGTGTACATATTTAATTCAAGAGACAAAATATATTCATATCATACAGCACGCAGGCAACACTCATTTTGATGTCTCATTACTTCGCTGTCCCCTTCTCCCCCATCTCCCAATTTTTGTTCTAATTTTTGAGATTGAGGTAAAAGATAGGCAGAAAGAAATAGGAAGGAAAGTGATAGTAATAGATATAACGGTTAGATATCCTGCTGGGCAAGGAGCTAGACACCAGAGATCTTAAAGAATTTTTTTTTTTATCGAAAAACATTAAATCAAGGCCGTGGTTGGTAAATGGCAATCTAAAACCTATAATCACTGCAGAATTTCTGATCTGTATAACTATTGTAATTTTGTACTCAAGATTCTGATCTGTTACTTGTTTCTTAATGTGTTTTCTTAATGACCTCTTTCTGTTTAGGATCCCCGAGTTCTAGACAGCATGATGCCTTTTATGGTGAATTATTATGGAAACCCTCACTCCAGGACTCATGCCTATGGATGGGAGAGTGAAAAGGCAATGGAGAAAGGTCGACAGGTAATCTCTATACGTCTGATATTTTAATATTTTAGAGAATTCTACACTATGGTATACAAAGTCTAATGTTTGGAATGTCCTTTGATCCATACAAGTCAACAACTGCCTTATAATGCCCAGCTTTTAGAAGAAGCCAGTTGTCCCCAAATGCCCAGCCTTCACCAGTATTCAACCATTGATACAAAATTGTCATCAAATGACCTGACAAAATGTTGCCTTGGTTACCCACATTTTTTTTAAATTTATTTTTTTTAATGCATTTCTCATGATGCTCAGCTGGCCAAAAAGCTCTCTCTTTATATGGTGAATTGTTTCTCCTTTAATAAAATGTATTGTTTCTTTACCTTCTTTCTGTTTGTATTGTATTGTAGTCTATGTTTAGACTATTCTATATGTTCTGCCAGCTGTTCATGTGTTCAGATACTTAATAAACACACTAAAAATGTCGCACCTTCTCTTCTACAGCAAGTTGCCTCTCTGATTGGAGCAGATTCTCGTGAAATCATTTTCACAAGTGGTGCAACAGAGTCAAATAATATTGCATTGAAGGTAATGTTTCGTTTGAGTGCAAATCTAAAATAATGGTACACGGATCTATGTTTACTACTTGTCGACCCCCGTAAATAGAGAGTGTTTTGGGCAACTTGTGAATATTTTAAGTTTCTCAAGTTCCCGTACAGGTGTGTTCTCATTTGCATCCTAGAGATACTATAACTCATATTTTTCTAAATATGCTGATGAAAAATACTGGGGGGGGGGGGAGAAACAAATAACATAGCTGTTTGCTTTATTTTAAAAACATTAATGTAATGTTGCCAAGTGTGAAATTTTAAATATGGTTGATTACTGTTAAATCACCCATTGTACAGCGCTACGGAATTTGCTGGTGCTATATAAATAATAATGATAATAAAGGAATTTTCTTCACACATAAGTACTTCAGCTTACTTAAAGCGGCACTGTCATGCCGAATCCTGTTTTGTTTTTGTTGGGTTTTTTTTAACCCCCCTTCCGTCTCCACTATCTCTAACTGACCCCCTAGTCACCCCCAAATGCCCTTAAGCCCCCCACATTACCTAATGTTTTATCTTTATTTTCTGCCCCGATCTTTATTCAGGGCGTCGCCATCTTTGTGTGGGTAGATGAAGTCCCTGTGGGACACGTCATATGCCCACACTAGATAGACTGTGAGATTCCCGCACATGCCCAGTGAAACACTTGGACATGCGAACAGGAATTTAATCTATTCATTCATTCATCAGACAGACGAATTAATGAATAGAAATGTCAGACGAACAAACTAACTAATCGTTCAGTTTATTACAAGGAGGGAGCTACCGGCGCACAGCTCCCTCCTTGTAATATGTAAAGATAGAAGCTATACCACTATACCGCTATACAGCGAGTAGGGGCATGTCTACTAAACAGTGAGCAGCCTGTGGCTGCTCACTATAAAAAAAACAAAACCTCATGTCATTCCATCCAGAAATTCATCCAAAGGTGACTAGGGAATTACAAGCTAGTCACCCACCACCCAAATAAAGTACACACTCCTTTCACCCTACAAAAATAGTGAGGAATAAAATAACAACATAGCGAAAATGAAATTAAACTTGCCATTCCGGCGATGTATCAGCAAAATCTCTTAATTTTTCAGCCAAAAAGGCAAATAAAAACCATCACCAACCATCAAACTTAAAATAAAAATAAAAACCAGGCGAAATCATTAACTGCCGCTTGGAGGGCTCGGCGCCAGTGCTCCGCAGGGCGGGTCAAGGCTTATAAAGCCTTGCCCCGCCCTGCAATTAGGCTTAGAACACTCTGATTGGTAGGTTTAAGCCAATCAGAGTGCTCTGTGTCATTTTACACAGCGTGGGAAAGTTCTTTTGAATTTTCCCACGCTGTGTAAAATGACAAAGAGCACTGTGATTGGATGAATTTCAAGCCATCCAAT